ACTAAACTCGGACTTCATGGAATCGAATATTTGAATTAAAAAGTTGCGAAGACATGACATTTATTGAGCTACCTGTATCAATTAAAGCTGAAATTTCCAGATTTGCAATGTGCACAGGCATATACAAAAATTTACAAACAAATGTTGAATCGTCGTCACTTGTACATTCAGTTGATTCTGAATAATTTACAGTTTTATCAGAAATGTTAACATGGGCAGACTGGTGTACAGAAATTTTATCTAGTTGCCGCCCCGGGGGTCCTGCCCTGTGAATCCCGGGTTCCTCCGGTTTCCCGAATAGTTTACACACTGTGGACTCTTATGGCCCGTTTGTCCACAAATATGCCAAATAAAAGAGAAATCTATATTGCCCTTTTCATTCCAATTGCAGGCACGTGCAAAGTGTCCAGGCGCTTGACATTTACGGCACAATCCACGGACAGGTTGAGATACCTGACGATCTCGATTTCGTGAACGAGAAAAACGATTATTTCCTTTTACATCACGAGAACAGTCTAGTTGTTGAGAAAAATCTGTGGCAAGTTTTGACACGGCTTGGGTTAGACTGTTTATTTGTCCTTGTAATTCACTAACCACATCAGTTTTGAAATTGTTTAAATCTTTCATCGCAGCGGGTGTGTTATTGGCAGATTTAGTAACAGAAGCTACAAGAAGGTGCATCATATTTTCGATAGCCGTAAGCTTCGCCCATTTTGGCAGCTTCTAGGCAATTTGCGCTATCATTATGGTGACCTGCCCGAACAAAAAAGGCGAGTTGGTCAGGCAACCCCTTTATAAATTAAATCAGTATTTCGTGATCACTTTTGTGCAAAACTGTTGCTTTTTCAAGTAGTTGAGCGTAAAAATCGTCAATTGATTGCCCTTTAGAAAGTTTTAATGTTTCAAATATTTCACCTTCAAAAAGTATAGTTGGACTTCGAAAATCAACATCAATATATTGCTTCTTGTAAACCTGTTCAAAAGTTTGCCATAATTGTTAATTGTCGACTGGAAGAGTATTGAACTAAGTTAGAGCTGGGCCACAAAGGTGCAAATGGAAAGCGGAAATTTTTCTAGCATCCTCTTCCGATAATATATGGTGCAACACGGCATAAGACTCGAACTCACTCAAAAACTGAAATGCTTTTTCATTTGGATATCCCCCAAATTTTTGACAATTTGCTAACTTTTACATTTAGTGAAAAGAATTATGTTTGGAATTTGATATGGGAGGTTGAACTTCGACGTCAAGTGTTGAAGAAACTACGGTATTTGGCGTACTAGAAGTGGTAAAATCTGAGGTTTGAAATTTATCAAATGGTGTCCAGGCAGGGGTAGCTGGTGTCTCTATATTGGCAAACTAAACGAAGTGTTTAACTGTAGTGGAGAAGCCGGTGGTTGCAATAAATAGCCAATATCGGGTTCTATGTCGTCTGTAATTTGGTTGTACAATAGAAAGTCGTCTGTAAATACAAACTCGTTGTGGGATTCCGACATTTACTCAATAAAATACAATGTTGAATATACAACACGGAAAAAAATCAGTAATGAGAACAATCTCATATACTATACACTCCGCTGTAACTAAGTAGACGAGCAGAAAATTAATGAGATAAATCTCACATTCTACATACATGAAAATAAATACAGGCAATGATGCATACTATAATAAATCTTCATTTTGGCAATCTTCAACTATCCTAAGTAAAATTCGAATCAACCACAAACGGGCCAAATATGGATGTGGGTGAATACCATCTATATAAAGACCATATTAATATAGTTATTTGAATATACAGGCGGACGGCCATGGTGTTTTCTTACTTTCCAAACCAAAATCTGGTGAATGAACACGAAGCAAAATATTTGTTTCCCTACTAAATCTATTGATCTCGGCAGTCTGACATTCTAATAGTCTATCCTGCGCACGAAACTGCTCTGGTTCAGGGTGTTGTTGAAATAAATTCCACAAATAAATTAAATAGTATGGAAGCTCGAGAAAAACAAGTTTAATTGTCAGGTAATCTATAAAAGGAACTTGTAAATTTGTTTGTATGTATCACATACAGTGGCGGATCCAGAGGGGGGCGTAGAGGGCGTACCCCCCCCCCCCCCCTTTTTGCTTGCACTTTTTTTTTTTTGTAAAATGATTAATCAGAATAGACTTCGTGAACTTTGTCATTTCCCGTGTATTTAATTTTTATGCGACAATTCTTGACTTATAAAGATATTTTTCGCTCGTATTTACTGTAATATATTATTGATTATGTCAAAGTCATGTGATTCTCTACGGTGGAGTTGACCAGTTCGTCGAAAAAATCGTCACTCAGTCATTTTGAAATTCAAATTACAGTAACACATTGCTTAGGCTGAGGATGACAAGCATGACGCCTTCAAAGCGACAAAATATTTCACAATTCCACCCAACAGAAAGTAATACTCTATTACACTCTCATGAAAAAAAAAGTTCCACAGCAATATTATTTACCTACGAAAACATGTTTAACCCCACACGCCCCAGCCCATTAATAACATTGCTGAATAGTGATCCCCAGTCAGTAAGCTCTAGATATAGATTTAAAGTCTAAGGTATGGACCATTTGATCTGAGGGGGCAGTCTGAGATATTTGAGAGAAAAAATTCTGACCCTGATTTTTGCCTTAAACAAAAATTCTGGCCGTATCTGGATTGAAAACAATAATCTTGTCCACTTTTTTGCTATTAGAAAAAATATTTTCAACAGAATTATTTAGCATTAAATGAACATGATGAATAAAAAACGGGCGTAATTTTTTTTTTTGAGAGGGGAGGGGGGGGGGGGGGGGGGGTTGCATGTGAATCCCATATCTGACCGGAATGTTTGTTTCGCCGAACTGATATACTGAATACTTTTTTCAAGGCCCGACTGCAACCAGCCTGCTGTGTGTGGTCTATATGTCTCCATGTGTCGACCGTCATTCACAACTTCATTGTCATTTCCGACTCATTCGTAGCCTTTGGTTGATTTGGAACCCCTCACTTCCCTTGTTGGGTGAAACATTTCAACCAAACATTTGGATGATAATTGCTTGTTTGTCTTTCTTCGTGTCGGTCGTATTGTGAATTTCATTGAATAGCCGTATATCTTGTTTACAACAAGAAATCTGTGAGGTTATGCTAACTAACCATACAACAAACGAGAATTTTCCATGTCCATTTTTTACTAACAATTCCCACATCAAATATATTAATTAGTACATAGCTTTGGATCCATCTAATCATTTCATAATAGACATTTGATGGAGAGAATACGGCACCAACCCTACACTTTATCTATAAAATGCATTTTACACTTATTTTATGTTTTTTAGCCAAAAAAAGGTCCAAAAAAATTTTCGCCTCGCTCTGCTCGGCCAACTTTAATACTACGCCCCCCCTTTCCAAAATCCTGGATCCGCCCCTGACATATGTGTTTTGAGATTGAGGATTGAGATCTAACAAAACATGTTTAACCCCGCCGCATTTTTGCGCCTGTCCCAAGTTAGGAGCCTCTGGCCTTTGTTAGTCTTGTATGTTTTTTAATTTAAGTTCATTTATATGTTTTGGAGTTTAGTGTGACGTCCATTTTCACTGAACTAGTACACAATTTTATTTAGGGGCAAGCTGAGGACCATTTGGGTGCGGGATTTTCTCGCTGCATTGAAGACCCATTGGTGGCCTTCTGCTGTTGTCTGCTCTTTGGTCGGGTCGTTGTCTCTTTGACATATTCCCCATTTCCATTCTCAATTTTATTTACTCGATCATTATTATCCGGTCGTAACTGAATAAATTTTCCAGATTTATCTGTCAAGTCACAAGTACCTAGCCAAATGTATATTGTAAGATGTCGTGAGGAAAGTTCCTGAATTTTAGATTCTAAATTTATTGTAAAAGCACTTACCCTTACTTGAGTCAGTAACAAACACAAGTTGACGTTCAAAAATACATGTAATTTGTGTCTTAGAATTCTCGTATGTACAACAAAGGTAGATTATTTTAGTAAAATATTGATGGCCCTGAAAAGGACCATTATTAGAGATATCATCGGCACAAGATGCACGTCAAAAGCCTTATTTCCTCTTCTCTCGATCAATGGGCTTCCTGTTACTTGAACGTTGCCATTTTGTTTATTTACGTCTGTGACGTCATTTTCATGAGTACAAATCAACAAACTAAAAAGGTTATTCGCCGGTGAATAATAGGGTTATTCAACGCTGGTGTTAATTTTTAGGGTTATTCGTTCTTCCTTGCAATTGAATGAAAATTAACTGAATTGTTCCATGTCACGTGATAACGTTTTACCCAATAGAATTGTTTGAAATATATGTAAGGTATAATAACAGGTATTGTGCATTAAAAAGGCGCTTGGTGTAGTCTCTGCTCTAAATTACACACTTGGTTACTCACACGGGCAAGACTCATTTATAATGGCGAATAGATGTGAAAAATAAATGCCTATATGAAGAAAATTGTGTTATAAAGTGAATATTTGTTCGTATAAGTCACTGGTCATAATGCTCTAATAATTAATCAAATTTGTCCCGATCACAATACATCAAAGAATTCAACCACGTGTGATGTCCTCGTGCAGGGGGTCTACATGTAAAATGCACGGGAGTCACATTTTCAGAAAATAATTAATTGTTGGAAACTGCACACATATTCTCATAAATTTTGTTAATGTGTTCTTGAAAACTTTTTAGGGTCTCTCCACCATGTGACGATATGGGCCTCGTCTGTTAACTCTAGTTAATTTTGGGTTGGGACTAGCTCATGAACAAAAACACGTCTAACGTTAACGTGATTTAATCAGAGAGAGCGTAAATAAAAAGGCGTTTCCGGACATCACTTGTACAATTCCGTATAAACATATAAAACTGATACATATATAATTATATCTAAATATATAACACCCCTTTTCAATTCTTAGAATATAGTGATTTCTCTTGATATCCAAAAACAACTGTTTTTACTATTTGAAGGTTGTACTTCATGATCCATCAGAAGAACCACTGCCATCGTTGAGAGGATTCCTGGTTGGCCCTGGCTTATCTGCGGGATGTTCTATAAGGAAAACCAAGGTCAGAAACATGTTCACTTTATAAATTTTAGCGAGAGCGGAGATTTAATTTTAATTAGATTGGGTGTTGTAATTTCATAAACTTCTATTTCAAATACTTTTCACTGAAATTTACAACTGAATTTTTAAACGATAATTCTATAATACGTAAATCTTAACTTGTTTATATTTCAGAAAACGTTCATTACTATAAAATGTCTTTAATCAATTAAGTAAAATTTCAATTATACTTCTGTCTTAATTTGTTTTAGGTGATTACACTTCCAAGTCCATATGGTAGTTGCAGAGAGGTTTCAGATAAATTATCAGGAGTGGGTACATATTCAGAGCTGACGTGTTTCAAACATTGTTTAGACGACTATCTCGTACAAAAATGTGGTTGCAGACATTTATTTTCAAATGGTACGTAACATTTATTTAAAAGCCTAGTTAGCCAAGTGGTCTAGGCAACAATGCCACAGAAGCATGGGTTCAAATTCCACTGACGGAGAGAAAACAAAAAAAAATGCTATCTTAATTTAATATCTTACATCGTTGCGCTAAATTCAAGACGGAGAATGGTAGTATTTAGTGTGTTATTTATATACAAGTTATTTTCACTTTTAGCCCGTTATCCTGAACGCAAAAGAAATTTATTAAAAAAACTAAACTTAATAATGAACGCGTGTAACGATTAAATATAAAAACGCCTTGACATACGCTTGTGTGTGTACTTATACATCCCAATGTATCAGATTAAAAAATATATCCAACAGTTTATATATAAATATATATGGTATTACAGAATATGGAATTCAATGGACAAAAAATAAAGAAGTAGAGAATAATGGATTTTTTAAATATAAAAAAAAGAATGGTGAGAAAAAAGCATAAGCAACCAAGGATACAAAAAATAAGACTCCATCCGATCCACCATATATACGCCTAAAAGTATGCCAACTGTTCGACAGACGAATTCAAATAATCCGATGAACTAAATTGTTATACAGGACTAACAACACAAAGTAGAAATACTTTGTCTGAAATTTAACAAAAGTTAGATCTGCAAATGTGCTGCAGCACATCGACATTTAAACCCAAATGTCCCTTTTTTTAAAAAGTAAAGAGTCCTTTATGTATCACAATATTCGTAATTATTTTCTTTTAGGTAAAGCAGAGTTTTGTGACAGTCGACAGCTGATGGATTGTTATGCCGAGTACCAAAGTAAGCAACATTTCAAGACATTTTACATTTAAAAACATTGAAGCATATTTATTGCTAATAATAATGAAGCCCTAAAAAGAAAATAGGTGTATGGGCTTTAAAACTATTCCTAATTTAATAATTACAATAACATGCATGTTTCACAAGAAACCTTACTTTTGATTTGCGTGACATTCCATTTCTCAATAAAATTCAACATCCACGACCGTGAGCACGTGCTTCTCATGACGACGTCACAAGACATAGGTTTAATAGCTTCATCATGTGCTTCGGTTAACGCTTTTACACCCCAATAAAATTACAAAAAGAAGCATTCAATTTTTAAATGCAATATTCAAGGAATAGAATTAAAAAAAAATTAAAAAAAAATACTCAAGGAATATATTAAACAAGGAATTTCAATGTCGGTTGTTAAATTGATTGATTGAGTGATTGGTGTTTAACGCCGCTTTCAGCACTGTTGCGCTATTTCGTGGCGGTAATTTTTTATTGAGGGGAAGTCGGAATGCACGGGGAGAACCACCGAATTTCGGTAGGAAAACTGACAATCCTAGTCAATTTAGATTGGCCACCGAGGCCCCTTCGGTGGTTTGACACTTGATTGTAAAATCATTGTCGGTCTCTCCAAAGATAATGTCAAATTCCAATAATTCCTATAAGAACCATGTTTTTTAAGGAAAGCAGATACAAAGGGTCAATACAAAATATAGATCAAAGAAAGACATACAACACCATGGACAAAAGAAAAATAGGATTAACATACTAGCAGTCCAAAACACCGAAGATTGAGTAAAACACGAACCCAACCAAAACACATTGTGAAGCCTGTGTGCTCTGAAAGTTCCTGTTCCACTATTGACACCACCCATCATGTTCAATGTATACAAGTATTCGTCTTTATAGGGTCGTTATTATTGTTCCTGTTCCACTTTTGACACCCATCGTGTTCAATGTATACATGTATAATTATTGATCTTTATAGGGTCGTTATTATTGTTCCTGTTCCACTATTAACACCCATCGTGTTCAATGTATACAAGTATTCGTCTTTATAGGGTCGTTATTATTGTTCCTGTTCCACTTTTGACACCCATCGTGTTCAATGTATACATGTATAATTATTGATCTTTATAGGGTCGTTATTATTGTTCCTGTTCCACTATTGACACCCATCGTGTTCAATGTATACATGTATAATTATTGATCTTTATAGGGTCGTTATTATTGTTCCTGTTCCACTATTAACACCCATCGTGTTCAATGTATACATGTATAATTATTGATCTTTATAGGGTCGTTATATATTGGTCCTGTTCCACTATTGACACCCATCGTGTTCAATGTATATAAATATTGGTCTTTATAAATTCGTTATTATTTCGTTCAGAAAACATATCAAGGGATTCAGATTTCCTACACAATTGTTCCTGTCCACCAAAATGCGAGACGATAAAGTACGAGACTTCACTGTCGTATGCTGCATTCACTTCCAACTTCATAGCTTCGTACTTATTCAACCAATCAATTCTACCAAGTGAAGATTATTTAAGGTATGTGATTAGTTTTTACATGTAAATATCAATAGGTGATGTGTGTTTAAGCATTGTGCATACTCTGATGCATAAATCATACACTAAAAGTACCATGCGTATTGTTGATAATGAGTGTATATATTTTCTTGACTAGTAGTTTTGTTTGTTAGGTATGATAAACCGCTACCAAATTGGTGCGCATAAAACGTGTTTCTGAAATAATCTACTCCAGGTGTTCTCGGCAACAAAATTGTTGAACGTCAAATACACAATCATTCTGCAACCAGTGCCCTTAAAACCAAAACATGGCACACAGATTGTTATAATTTTAGCGGATTGCTACTCCAGCATTGTCCTATTCCATGCAGAGGTTGATCTGTACATACATTTGCTGTCACGTTCATTAATAGTCAGAACGGCTCTGACAAAATACGCTATAGCTCTGTATTGTGTTGTGTCAAAAAGGTCATATACGTCTTTTTTTTCCTACTCCGATGTATTAGTTATATCAGAATGATTTGAAACTAGTTGGACGATTGTGTCACTATCTAAAAACATTTACTAATCATGTTGTATTTTATCTTTTTTCAGTAGAAATTTCATAGATTTGCGTCTCTTTTACAATTCAATGATAGAGGAAGCAACAGAAGAGGTTCCAGAAAAGACAGTTGGTAGTATTTTAGGTAAATATTAATATCAAGTTTGAAATATCACCTGGAAATAAGTCTAAATATGGTTTACAGAATAGAGCAGTGGTCTGAAACAATAAAGAATAGAGAATAATTGGGTCCTCGTATATAAATAATAGAAAATACTGGGCAAACAATATAAAGAATAGACAATACTGGGCAAACAATATAAAGAATAGACAATACTGGGCAAACAATATAAAGAATAGACAATACTGCGCAAGCTATATACAGAATAGACAGTACTGGGCAAACTATAAAAAGAATTGACAATACTGGGCAAACTATATGAAGAATAAACAATACTGGGCAAACAATATAAAGAATTGACAATACTGGGCAAACGATATAAAGAATAGACAATACTGAGCAAACTATATAAAGAATAGACAATACTGTGCAAACCAAATAAAGAATAGACAATACTGGGCAAACGATATAAAGAATAGACAATACTGGGCAAACTATATAAAGAATAGACAATACTGGGCAAACTATATAAAGAATAGACAATACTGGGCAAACTAAATAAAGAATAGACAATACTGGGCAAACGATATAAAGAATCGACCAGACTGGGCAAATAATATAAAGAATAGACAATACTGGGCAAACAATATAAAGAATCGACAATACTGGGCAAACTATATAAAGAATAGACAATACTGGGCAAACAATATTAAGAATAGACAATACTGGGCAAACAATATAAAGAATTGACAATACTGGGCAAACAATATAAAGAATCGACAATACTGGGCAAACTATATAAAGAATCGACAATATTGGGCAAACAATATAAAGAATCGACAATACTGGGCAAACAATATAAAGAATAGACAATACTGGGCAAACAATATAAAGAATAGACAATACTGGGCAAACAATATAAAGAATAGACAATACTGGGCAAACAATAAAAAGAATAGACAATACTGGGCAAACAATATAAAGAATAGACAATACTGGGCAAATAATATAAAGAATCGACGATACTCGGCAAACAATATAAAGAATAGACAATACTGGGCAAACAATATAAAGAATAGACAATACTGGGCAAACAATATAAAGAATAGACAATACTGGGCAAACAATATAAAGAATAGACAATACTGGGCAAATAATATAAAGAATCGACGATACTCGGCAAACAATATAAAGAATAAACAATACTGGGCAAACAATATAAAGAATAGACAATACTGGGCAAACGATATAAAAAATATAGAAAAATTACAAAAAAATTAAAGATTACAGATATTAGGACTCCCCTAAGACCTTTAATAATGTATGAATGATGTAACCTATCATTTATTTCCATCAATATTTGAAGATAGGGGTAGAGGTCAATGGGACACGAAACTAAACATATCTAGCATACTTCATACGCTCTTCAATATTCAAGTCGTCCTGAACATGTATAAAATATTTGCCATTGGACATTAAGCAATCAATAATCAATCAATCAATGTTCAAGTGTCTTTACCATTTGTTAAGGTATACAAATGTAAATCGCCCCAATTCCTGACAACTGTACTTCCGACAAGATTTTATTCTGAAACGCTATGACCAGTGAGGAACAGCGCAGAAAAACATACAACTGTGCAAGAACTTTGTCAAACTTGAAACCAAATTTCACATTCAAATAAAATTGAGAATGGAAAAGCATAGTTTAAGCTGAAGTATTTATAAAGAATTTAAAAATGTTCTATAATCAACAGTATTATCAAATGTTTACGAACAACAATAACATACCAAATTTGTAATCGCTATTACACCTTAGAAAACAAATTATATTGTAGTTATTGTACATAATATTTATATTTTCTGACTTACTGTTTTAGGAACGGTTGGTGGACAGATGGGAATGTTTATAGGAGCCAGCATCCTGTCAATTGTAGAGATCATAGAATTTTTCTGTTTGCTGATGACAAGAGGAAGTCAAAAGGTTGCCAATGCAAAAAGAAGAAAATTGGGAGAATCGACTGATCATATAGATGAAACTGAAAATACTAGTAAAATGTAACCAACTTTTGAAAAGCGATTCGGACGAATAAAATATTATTAAGTGTTACTTTGAGTTTTGTAGTCATTTGGGTTTTCTATTTGCTTTACCGTTGACATAGAACAAATGAAAGATACACTATGTATAGACGAATTCAAGACTAATGCAGTAATGGACTATCAAAAAGTGCTGCACTTTCTACAAATCTTCATTTCCAGTTGATTTTTAAGGATTTTAATAATGGTAAAGATTTGTATGAGTCCGATGCACATCTGTGGAACTAAGTTATAAGAAGTAAAAAGATGTAAACATTTCAGGGACGTCATTTATACAACAGAGGCATTACAAGAATTATTCTAAATTGACAGTATAAAGTAATTATATATAAATAAGTGGTTTTATTAGTAATTTCTGTCTACAGATTGTATCGTCATAGGTACAATAAAAACAGACAACACCATGTCACTATGAATAAAAATAGAACGATGAAATTACAAATAACGATAATAAATACACAGAAAACTAAAGATTGTACAACACAAACCCCACCAAAAACTGGGGGAGGTGGAATTTGTACGTGATTTGGTCCATTTCATAACTCAATAAAATCCTAAAATTATTTATTTCTATAATATTTCCCTGCAAAAATTAAGAATTTGTGATTAATGATCAAGCAATACGTGACTTTCTTACATGGTTTGATATGCATGTATCCATAGGAAATGGACAGATAGTTATTTTGACGTACTCCATCCCTTATAATTCGTATTATACACACTAAATATGAATAAAAAGAGATTAGGGATAAATGTCAATGAGACCACAATATAACGACAAAAGCGACCACAATACATCTACAGGATATAATACAATCTTCAACGACAGACAGGTTTCTATGCAATACGTCAAGCTTTAAATCGCACCGATTTCTCTTGAACGCAAATTCCACAACCTAAAGCATAGGAGAATACCAAGACGGCAATACATTATATCATATACACACCGCACATGAGATAAATTCCGTAAACTAATGTGTTTGCTAAATGTGTTGAGGGTTGCCGTCCCATGGACGACGTTTATACTTCTTGCCCGATCTTCAATTTGCTCATACAAATTCAAATCCAGCTAGTTGACACACTAATTATAATTTAAAACGAATTATCTTTTTTAATTATATAAAGTTACACGAATCTATGTCAGTATTTATTTAATCTTTACTGATATGCATGAATTAAAGATTTGATATAAGGAAAAATGTCAACCCAAGATAATGTGTTATAATGAGAAGTCATTAACTGTACGCAGAGGTCAGAAGTCAGAATAGATGTTAACTTTAATAATTTTATATAACTTTATGTATTCGTGAAATCTTTGTAGTAACTAATGTTTAAATCGACCTTTAACATTACCCCCAAGACTATTGCGGAACAGGAATTTCACTGTTGCCGATATTTTATTCCTTAACTTTTATTTGATTCTCTTAATAATTGAGTGTAATGTATTTTTATATCAGTTTGCGTTACTGCAAAAACTTGCAGTCTTTTAAATAAAATTTAAATAGTATTTGCTTTCAAATGGTTTTTTTCTCACGTTAAAACTGACTTTAGAATAATGAAAATAAAGCAAAACAATTAAAATGTGCACAATACCAATTACAATTCAATCGGCGAAAGATAATTTTTTATAGTAACATATCGTTTTTCAAAGTTTGAAGAAATGTCATTTTAATCAATGAGGTTTATATCAAATTATACTTATATAACAGCAATAGAGGTTTAACAAATATATACTTGATTTACACACTTCGAAGTTCCACATAATGCACAATAACTATAGTTTAACACGATCCATTATAAGTTTAAAGGACCAACATAGCTCTATTTAAACAGATAAATACATGGTTTAAAACAAAGGGGACACATTTGATAAATATCAATGTTCAGTTAGTTAGATCCACGTATGGCTACCAGGGTGATTGTCGTCAACGTAATCTATGTCCGTTTAATTTGGATTTAAGGGGTACAGGAAGATGTTGGAGCAGAAATGTCAAAAGCAGAAAATTAAAATTGGAGCAAAATAGTCTAGTTTTTCATCGATTATTGATTTAAAATGAGTAAAACAAGACTTCTTTCGCGGGAGAATACGTCTTTGAATTCACATGAAACGAACAAGAATTTCACGTTCGGAACCTGCGATCTATGTTCAAGACAAACTGGAGACCATTTCTGTATTCAGTGTAATCAATATTTGTGTGATCACTGTCAATCTATTCACCTAAAAAGTACCGTTTCTAGAGGACATAGAATAAAACCTCCAGAAGTGCTTTTAACTGAAGCTAAACGCCGTCAATGCGAACTTCATCCACAACAAGTGATAGAAAATTATTGTATGGAATGTTCACAGTTTCTGTGTAGAAAATGTTTGAATGGTATTCATAAATTCCATAAGTATAGGTCTTTATCTGCCGCTTCTGAAATCCAACAAAATCTTTTAAAAGACTTTATTGAATATGTTAACAAAGAGATTGAAGTTTTACAAGAACATATTAAAACTTCAGATACATTTCAAAACACTTACCAGTATAAAGAAAAGGAGAGGGTAGCAGAAATAAAGAAAGCACAAGAAGAACTAAAACACAGAATAGACGCTGCCGCTGATGAACTTATCAATGAAATGAAAGAACGAAGAGATGATAATCTCAAAGAAATGGCCGAAAATAGAAATATGCTTGCCAAAATGTCAGAACATGGGAAAAGATTGAAAATGCGATGCCAGCAGACTATAGATGAAATTGACGAGCAAGCTGCTCCATTAATGACTAAAGGTTTAGTAAAAGAAGTTTGTAATTTCCAAAGTCCAACTAAAGTACATTTAGGGGAATATCCGGTATTTAAACGAGCCCTCCACAAACCAGCAGCTGTGCGTCAAATGCTAGGATCATTCCGACAACCGTAAGTAAATGCTTTTCGTTTGACAATAATTTTTGTATTGATATGATTAAGAAACAAACAATCAGTGCATTGTTTAAATTGGTACGACCTAGTTATCCCATGATGATAATAAAAGAAAATGTAAGAGCAAAAGCAATGCCACATAAGTAAATATGTAAATAAATACTAAAGGAACGATATACACATGATTCCATATGATTTCCTCAGTCCTCAAATCGTTAATTCAAGCAAATAATGTTCTGTGATTATAATTTTTACAATATTATATGATAAAATGGGTTCCTTACCTATAGATAAAAAAATACGGTTTAGCTAAGTACCTGCAAACAATGCTGAATTTTTTATCATATCATATTATTCGTCTTCTATTCTAAAATCCTTATATGTAAATGGTAAGGTTCTTATATAATTTGGCTTCAGTCATATTCTTACAGTGTATCAATTTCCAATGATTCATTTTATTTTCAAGGCCCATAGTACAGGCCACGACTAGAATACAGCTTTTTTTCTTTCTCTTCATGTTCCCAGTGGGACAAAGCAACTGGAAGTTACGGACAATAACTTATATCATGTTGAACTTATAACCCTACAATCATCATTACCAACTGAATTAATTGTAACTTTTATTGCTATTACACTTAACTTTTATGGAACATTGAAATTCTTTAATATACCAATACATTTAGATTTTCAAAGCGATTATTCTTGGGTAGCCGTAGGATAAAATCTCATTAGATAGACGACAATTTGTAAATCCACTTCGATTTTTTATTCTAATGACATCTTTGAAATGCTGTCATACTTAGACGTGTGCTATTTAGTAGACATATCAAATGTTGGTGACGCTAATACCCTTGTCTTCCCTATTTATTTTTTTCTAATTTTAAATTCTTAAATTTTCAAACAGATATTCAGCAAGTTAGGCTAATTAAATTATGGAACACTATTTACAGTGGCAAACGACATAACAAAGATATAAACGTTCGAACAAAGATACCAGGCTTACAATTTTGTATGCCAGGCGCGCATTTCTTCAACACCAAAATCATTAGTGCTTTATAAACAAAAGAAAATCAAATGGTCGTCCCCTTACTACTGAAATAGCATAATAACTTTATAAATAGTGTGTGCTTAGATCTCAAACAGAGTGATTCATCAATAAGATTATGTACAATTAATTAACACTATTTAAATTTTGTGCGTCCGAAGCTGTTCTTTTTCATTATCACATCCAGTATGCTTCTTGTTGAATGCACTTCTTTTATGATTATTACTGGTCTACGACTAATGGATTATCAAAATGTAATACACCATGATGAATAAACATGGGATAACAATAAGTAAAATTGAGAATGGAAATGGGGAATGTGTCAAAGAGACAACAACCCGACCAAAGAGCAGAAAACAGCCGAATGCAACCAATGGGTCTTCAACACAGCGAGAAAATCCCGCACCCGGAGGCGGGCTTCAGCTGGCCCCTAAACAAAAGAGCACATTATACTTGTTTCTACGGAATTAATCTTGTTGACTGGATTTTGTTTATAATTATTACTCCGACAAGGGCTTAATTCGTCTAAGGTCATGCTTGCTTGGGGTACTTGCATGCGAAGTTGTTTTGCAATTATATAATTTGTTAATATAAAACGTACCATAATGGACCTATCGTAACTACAAGTGTATCAAGCACAAAGCAAAATGTCACCGTCACTTGTTTCTAAGATCTGAACTTTAATATTCCTTAATAAAAGAATGGATACTTTAAGACACAATACACAGTTGTGAATGATACTAAACCTAGTCGCCGTTTATATGTTTCTTCATTTTGATCTGAACCAATATACAGTAACAATACAAATCCTGATGAAGAAATCACTGCAATGGACTGTCTTGAGAATCCAAATATGTATAACGAAATGTTTTCTATTTCAGAGTACGAAATCAAGACATAGAAAGTAGAACGACTTGCAGACTAGCACTTCCATTTGGGATGTTATTATGATGTTTGAGCGGAAGGATAGTTGCTTGTGAAGAATGAATTAAATAAATACCATAGAAGTTGAATTCCTGACTTTAAAGTTGTCGGATATTTTTCTTATGTATGAACGAACAGTTAATTTG